CCCCCCCCCCCCCCCCCCCCCCCCCCCCGCTCTCTGGCAGACACGCTCCCCTTTTTCTAGTTCTGCTCACGCTGGGACTCGCTTTCCTGAGCCAAGCGCTGAGCGCCACCGAGGGAGAGGTGAAGGCATTTCCCTGGGGAATCCAGTTATACTGCCTTTGCCTAGGCCCCAGCAGGAACCTACCACGACGAAAGAGGAAGGGAGGAAACTGGATTGCTATGGAAAGAAGTAGGACCTCGAAGACTGCGGGAGTTTTCCTTCCTCCTTGGCCTCCGCCTCCCCTTTCTGTACCGAAAGGAAACAAAGCTCTGTAGCTGAGAGTGCCAGCAGCCCACACCAAAGCAGGCCCGGGGACGCCGAGGGGGAACTAGGATCGGAAGTGGAGGCGGAGACAGGGATTCCTCGGTCACCACCCTTTTCCATGAGGGCGAACCCCTCCTCCCAGGGTGCTCCAATAATCACAGCTGGGGCTTATCTTGAGAGCTCTAGGGGGTGAGCCCCGCCTGCCAATAGGCAGGCCGTACAGGGAAAGCTTGTGCTGGAAACGTGCCTGTTGAGTCCTGGCCTCAGACTCCTTCTGGAGCTGTGGCCCACACCCTTGGGGGAAATTGAAAAGTCAAGAAAGCTGGGAAGTTTCTCTTTGGTGGTGGGGCTACTGAGCAGAAGCTGAGTTTCTAGTGTATTCTAATGTAGAAATGCTAGGGTTACCAGAACCCATTCCCTACCTTCCCCCCCAAGGCTCTGGCCTGGCCCATCCTACTTCTGCTTTGGGGTGAAGGAGGCCCCCAAGATGTCCAGCCTCCTTTTGACGTTCCATTCTGGTCTGTCCTACCAAAGGAGGAAGAGGCACTCCAGAGCTTATAGGCCTTCCCCTGCCACCTGGCCTGGCCCTTTTAGGGCCAATCTACCTAAAAGGTAAAAGTTATATATTTATTTATTTTTTAAAAACTTATTTATTGGGGCGCTTGGGTGGCTCAGCCGCTCAGGTCATGATCTCTCCGCTAGTGAGTTTGAGCCCCACATCGGGCTCTGTGCTGACAGCTCAGGTCCTGGAGCCTGCTTCAGTTTCTGTGTCTCCCTCTCTCTGCCCCTGTCCCACTCGCGCTCTGTCTCTCAAAAAATAAATTCAACAATGTTAAATTTTTTTAAAGCTTATTTATTTGTTTTGAGAGAAAGAGGGGGGGAGGGCACAGAGAGAGGGAGAGAGAGCGAGAATCCCAAGCAGGCTCCGCGCTGTCAGCACAGAGCCAGACGCACTCGATCCCACAAACCGTGAGATCATGACCTAAGGTGAAATCAAGAGCCACAGGCTTAACCAACTGGGCCACCCAGGTGCCCCAAAGTTATATTTTTAGGTAGTTTATAAACAATTCGCCCCTTAAAAGCAGAGATGTTTCATTGCCTGGATT